AATTTAATTAATAAATCACACAGATGGCACTTTGTGAATTTATATAATAATTATATGATAATTTCATTTGGTAACTTGTAATAACTAATTTTTAAAATTTTACATAAGTGTGTAATTTATTATACTATTTATTTATATTAATATCATCATTCTAATTAATAATATTAATAGGTTGGATTTATACTGATGAAATTATTTATGAGCCTTATCCAAATATTTTATTATTGGATATTGGAGACAAATATAGTTATAAATGGTTGAACACATTTGATCCTTTGATAACTACTTCATCAGATACTTTAGGTAAATATAAGGTAGTTATAATTGTTGGGTCAGTAATGGGTGCAATATTTATTATTGCTATTATTGGTATTATTGCTTTTGTTTTATATAAAAAAAAAAGAAATGAAGAAAAAAATAATAATCCCAATACAATGATTAATAATGTTGCTTATAATGATCAATTTCATAATATTCATAATAGTAATATTGGTAGCGATAGTAATACTGAAGCTGTAATATACTGATCATGCATGTTTTATTTTTACATCTAATATATAGTAGATAGAATTAAATATATATATTCTCCTAGCAAATGAAAATTTTATTACTTTTTTAAGATATAAATTATTCTCATTATAAATAAACATGGTTCAGTCATATGTGTCAAATCAAAAAAATTTACATTAAAAATTATATTAACATTTGAAAATAAAAAATCATCAATCCAATAATATTCATCTATATCCTTTTTTTTAATGTTCCAACAAACTGGATTATAGCCACCTACTAATTCATTATTTTCATATCATTACATTTATCCACAAAACTTTCACAACTGGTTTAGAAAACCATCATGAGTCCTTTTGAAGAATTAAATTAAACAAAGCTCAGAGGAGAGTTTGAGCCTTATAAATAATGGAAGTAAAAAAGCATTTAAAGAATTTTGACCCTGTAATTCATTTTTTTCACTATTATTATTATTACTATTTTAGTCTCATTGTAGCCTGCTTCCATATAATATAAAACATATTAATATAATAATGCACTGTAAAAGAGCTCTGAGCTATTCTTATACAGTATATGTAGGGTGTTGATTTGTTTAGCCAGTTTGCTTAGAATTTAGAGGCCAGATGCTTGGTCTGTTTATTTTGACTAAATTCACGTAATTGTTTATTTTAATAGGATACTGGAATAGAATACATACCTTGTCCTAGAGTGAAAATGAAATCCGTGTGAATTTACAAGTTGCATATGGAGCTTTTGAATAGAAACGAACCGTGATGTTAGGAATTGTGTCAGCGGACACGAACACGGACTGTCCGGAATTAGAAATTAATGTCGATTCATGGCTAATCTATTTTTATAATTTATTTATTCCATTTTATAACTTATAGAAGTTTAATGTAGATTTTGCACCTGTTACTTGAAAAGCTATTTCGGGATTAAATCACTGAATCGCAATTACAAAAGGAGTGCAAATTCATGATTAAATTGCTAAATAGTAATTAAAATGCAATTCAAAATTCGTTGAAACGCGAATTTAATATTAATATTAATAATTAGCTGGAACGAAGTTTGTTGAAACGAGGGTTTTACTGTACTTGAAAAATAAATTTTTTTTGTGTTCATTAATAATTTAAAACCAGAACTAACCCGAAACCGAACTGTTCGGAGCTTTACTTTCACCTTGCACAATTTCTACAACTTCTCAGACCTCCTTGACAAATTTTTCCATAAAATGATCACCAGGTCTTCATCACATGGTTCCATAGTTTGGACTTTATCTGCAAATGATCAAAAAAAATTTAATGCCTTATTACTTAGACTTACAGTTTCTTGTGTATGGGCATTATCATGCGTTAATAAACCGGAAGCTAAAGAATTTTTCAATTTTTTGAATCCTTCTTTCAAATTACCAGATTGTCATGTTCTTGGTGGTGAAATTTTAAAAGTTATTGTTAATTTGGATAAAGCTATGGAAATACCACTCAAGAAGAACCATTAGGTGCAACTTTAACCTTTGATGAATGGTTTAACGTAAAAATAAATATTTATTAGGAACAGTCTTATTGACTTCTGAAGGTAAACTTTACATATGGAAAGCATATAATGTAAGTTCAGAACGTGAAACTTATATTGAAGTAATGAACAAATCAAAAATGATGCTTACAGAACTAAAAAATAAGGAGGTTAATGTCTGTGATGTTTGTCACTAATAGTGCATCACCATATATGACAGCTCGGTGCATTGATTTATTATTATTATTATTATTATTATTATAATTATTATTATATTTATCTAAAAATTTTATTTTTTACATAAGCTGCAGAATCTGAAGATGGTGCTGTAACAAGGTTAACATATGAATGTACAAAACCAGGTAAACACAATTTACGAATTACAACAGATCTTACGAAACACCATAATGTCCATTCTCAAAAATAGAACGTCCATGACATATTAACCTTTCTTTTCCAAAGTCAAATAGAATAATATCCAATGATAATAAATTTGGTGAAGTTTCAAATGTAAATGTGGAAATTGTAGGCAGTTCGATCATTATGCAAGCACGTGTACAGATTGAATAGATTTTATTTATTGATGTATTATTTTCGATTGTAACTTGCAGATATGCTAATAATTTAAGCTTCTTATTTTTGTTTTTAAATGTTTGAGTATTTGAATGTCGCATGAATTTGAAATTATTAGTCTTAGGTGGTTGGTGTGGGAATAAAGTAATCCCAATATGCCATGACAAGTTTAAATGTTATTTGTTATTCTTTTAACAAATAATTTATAATTTTAAAGGCATTCATATTTATAGTGTTTAAAATAATAAATAATAATATTAATTAGTGGTTGTAAATTTTGCAAAATTTTCCTTGCAGATCACCACCTTTTCAGAGTTCGTACCATCAGGGTAGCTCCCACCAGGACCGGGTCCGCTCAATGTTAGGCGGACATGTCTTGTGTACAACATTATTGTGTTAAAATTATTTTTATCATATATGAAAATTAATTAGTGTTCCATGACGCAACCTAAAAAAGGATCATAAAGGCAGTTGCAATCATTTTCATATGACGGAAAGGTGGTAGCAACCATCATTAAAAGTTGCAGCCGGTATTAAAATTAATTACAATTTCAATTTCAATTTCACATACAACAGATACATCACCAAATAAACTTCAATTAAGGATTACGTTTGCACATGCAGAAACAGTAAAAAACTAAAACTTAAATTCAATATTAGTTTCTTGAGTAACTTTCTTGTGAGATTACAATATAGCAGTAAACAGAGCACAATGTTTTGTGTTAATTTATGTAGACAAACAAATTATCCTTTTTTTTTCATAGTTTTAATTTTTTTAAAAAAATGGTTGACTTAATGAATCATCATTTAAAATCATTAAAATTATTAACAATAATATTTAATTTATTTTTGTTAGATAATTTCACATATTTGGTAGTTGGTCAATTATTAGATATAATAGGTCACTGTTCAATTATATTGAATGATAAGCTATATTCTTTTGGTGGATATTCTTTAAAGTTAAATCAAACAAACCAAATAATTTACCTAGATTTATCTACATCATTTACACTTGGTCAGACATTACCAATAAAACAAATTTTTCCAAAGTCTGAAATACCTCCACTTGCTGGTGAAACATTGGCATTAGGAGGGGCTAATAATGACACACTTTATGTTATAGGTGGAAAGAGAAATTCACTACCTGATACTGTAAATTATGGATCCATAGTTTATTCAATAAACACAAATTCATTTAATACATGGACTCCAGAAAACCTCAATGGACAATCACAATTAAATAAAGTTGAAGCAACAATGTATACACAAGATAATTATGGAAATGTATATTTAATGAATGACAATGATCCAAAGATATATAAATTCAACACCAAAAATTTGGTATTTGCAACCTTAACACCAAGTAATGATGGTCCACCTTTAATAGGCTTAAATTATTTTAATATTTATGCTTTGAATGATGAAAAGTTAATTTCTTTTGGAGATGATATAACCATTGTAATATTATAATTTATTAATCATTGTTTTTATTATTTATTAAAATGAGAATATTATTTTCTAATAATTTAAATATTTAGATATACATATATAATATTAATCAAAATTCCTGGTCTAAGAGTGTAAGTTGTATTAGATCATTGATAACAATATATATTCAAAAGACATTAATAAATATTCTATTATATTAGACAACAATTGGTGATAAGCCTTCAGGGCGTAAGGGCCATTCTTCAGTATTAGGTAAAAATCAATTATCATTTTTTTTTAATTATTATTTGATTAAACATATTTTTTAATATACATACATTATATATTTAGCACCTGATGGAAGGATAATTGTGTATGGTGGTACTTTTCAATCAGACAAAATAGCAATACTAGATACAACAAAATTCCCTTTTCAATGGATAGTTCCAACAAATATTACTTATCCTACTAATATTCAAATTAATAAATCACATAGATGGCATTCTGCAAATTTGTATAATAATTATATGATAATTTCATTTGGTAACTTACAATAACTAATTTTTAAAATTTTACATAAATATATTACTAATACCATTTATATTAATATTAATTAATAATAATAGGTTGGCTTTATATTAATGAAAATAGTTATGAGCCTTATCCAAATATTTTATTATTGGATATTGGTGATAAATATAATTATCGATGGTTGAATGCATTTGACCCTTCATCAGTTATAATTAATACTACTAGCACTACTAGTCAACCAATTCCAGCTACTACCAGTGTTGATAATTCTCCAGTCAACACTAACACTGGTGAAAATAGCAAAATTAATATAATTATAACTGTTGGGTCTGTTGTAGGTGGTGTAATCTTTATCATTGT